ACCCAGCTTAATACCCATTGCTACAGTCTACATTATAGACTACCAGTACACTCACCAAACTTAATAACCAGGCTACAGTCTACATTATAGATAGACTGCCAGTCCATTCACCCAGCTTAATACCCATTGCTACAGTCTACATTATAGACTACCAGTACACTCACCAAACTTAATAACCAGGCTACAGTCTACATTATAGATTGCCAGTACACTCACTCCGATTAAGAACCAGGCTACAGTCTACATTAGTGTTTTATTTTATTTTATTAATTTTATAATTTGTATTAACTTTATTTTTTTATTCTATCTACGTGACTTTACCGAAGTAACCAAAGAATAAGGGAGGCACTCTGAAGGGGTTGACAGGTTTGAGATACGCTTAAGTGTTTGTTTATTTATGGACATTCTCCACAATGATGCAAGCGATTGTTTTGAGTTGTGGTAAAATGAAGAAAGGCCGGAGAACGACAGCCAACCGCGTGGTACATTCAGAAGCAGCGTTCTCGCGCGAGAGGGGCCGGATGTGGTTGGTGTCCTGTCGCCACCTTGTGGCCGCAAAGGCTCCACGTTAGCGTTCGACCATCCTGTTTGTCGTTCGACAACCAATTTCTCTGCGTTCGCGCAATTTTCTCCGTTTCTCCGCGCTCAGGATGACATTTTGCATCGCTGTCAAATCACCACATTCTCGCTCCTGGGAGCCCTGGAGTTCTGCGGTGTTGGAAGGCGACAGATTTCACAACGCACACCACGGCGTGCAGCCTTCACCGTGTACAAATAGGTTTCCAACAGGCAGCAGTGAAATCGATGTACAAGGGTGGTCCAGAGATGTCTTGTGGCCCGCATTGAATCATGTAAAACTTCACATTTGTTTTGTGAGTAAGGTTGTATTTAAAACATAAATGAATTGAGCTAAAGAAAAAAAAAGTGTTATGGGTCAATTAATTGGGGGTCACAAGACATCTGGATCACCCTGTACAGGATGTCTGCATGTTGAACTTCTTTCGCAACCGTACGGAGCCAACCGTGCTAATTGGAGGTGCGAAACCAAGTGAGAATAGTAGACTGATTTCATTCTCGTTAGGACTCATCAGTACAGCATAGTCGTCAATGTTCGCTTGCTGCCATAATCCTCTGGGAGCCCCATATGTATGTATGTTGACATATTTCGCAACCGTACGTAGCCAACCGTGCTAATTGGAGGTGCGAAACCAAGTGAAAACAGTAGATCGGTTTCATTTTCGTTAGGACTCATCAGTACAGCATAGTCGTCAATGTTCGCTGCTACCATAATCCTCTGGGAGCCCCATATGTATGTATGTATGTTGACATATTTCGCAACCGTACGTAGCCAACCGTGCTCATCAGAAGTGCGGGGGGAGGACAACAAACTAAACACAACAAGTAGTTCTAAAGAAAGTCGTTTTCAAAAGAGGTGATTTTAAGGTGCATAGCTCCAGTGTCTTCCTAAGGAAGAGCTTTCCAGACGGCCGCAGAAGCACACCTGAAAGCGTGACGATGCGGTGACCGATGGAGAGACAAAAGCTGCTGCGAGGGTGACCGAAGTTTGCGTGATGGTTTATGCTCCTTGACGAGATCAACAAAGCATAGTATAAGATCAGCAAAGCATTGAATAACAATACAATAAATCATTCACACGCGATGCTGTACATTTTCTTCCAGCCTGCAGTAATGTTTTCCGTCGTGATGGGTTTTCTCATCTTGAACAGATTTGAATTCACGTCGGAGACCGCTCTCATTGGACACGTGGGATATGTCCGTGGAGGACAATGGGCTCGTTTCCACGTCTGATTTTATGCCCGACGTCGATATCTCTTGAGCAAAGTGTGAATCATATATTAGACGTCTCGCTTGCCAGTCAGACCAAAGCTTCCCATGCTGGTCATTGCAGGTTGGTAGTGAGACGGGGAATCAGGAGTTGTTGAGGTATTTACTCATCATGTTAGCCAGGGCCAGAAATCGAACTGAGTTTGGCATGTGCAATGTGCAAACCTTTGCACGACTGCTACACCCACACGTTACTTCATGTTCACTCGCGGGACACTCCAAGGCATTGTGGTATTTCTCCCTACGGTGCTGTGTGGTATTTTACCTCGTGTCGTTTAAAATACGACTCGTGTAATTTTATATTTCCTTCGAGATGATGACATTGTAAGAATGCTCAAATTTACATTTGCACAAAGGCCCCACGGTTTCATTCAGGACGTAACCGCTCTTTGTCAGCGATAGGCATCAGTTATGGCAGAAGCGCGCCTGGGCGACTGCATTCACGGTCCATAATAAAAGTGAAAGCAACGCACGGCTTCCTTACGGTCATTTCAGCTTCACTTTCGAGTTTTATCGACGTGGCTCACAAATGTTGTTTCACAATACATAATGCCATGAATTTAAATGCACTTTGGGGTCGACTCAGCTTCGTGGAAAGCCAATGAACAGCGATTACCCTACGTGCATATTCTGTCTCCTGCCATGAGAATGTTCAACTCTACCACTCATTAGCAGTGGGGATGAAAATTGCCCCATGGCTAGTTGGAGCATGGTAACACTCTGGGCCCAAACACTTTAAACACATCGCCTTGGCAATTTGTCCTCTCGTCGGTAAATTTAGACATCGGTTAGTTAGTTTTTTTTGCAACAAAACAAATCATGAAAATGAACATTCAAGATGACAAGCCTCATGCCTTTGAGGCTCTGTTCGAATATCAGCTTTGTGAGATGTGGAGGCTTACGTCTGGCTGTGCGCAAGAAAACACGCCCTAGGGGGCTCAAAAAAAATCCCCCTTTCTAGGAACGATACGGAGCCGCGTATTGTACAGCATTCCAACACGAACCAGCAAGCATTCCAAGCACGCGCATTTCCCCGTTGGAACCGCAGTGTGCCGGTACACACGCATCCTGAGAGACATCCGCTAGGGGGCAGCACATGCTTGCCACAAATGAACCACAGTACGGTGTCAAGGAGCAGAAACCATCACGCGAACTCGGGTCATCGTCGCAGCAGCGACGTTTGGCTATCCGTCGAACAAAGACGGTCACTGCCTCGCGCGATTTCAGATGCGCTTCTGTGGCCATCTGGAACGCTCTTCCTTACGATATTAGGAAGCTACTGGAGCTATGCATCTTAATATGACCTAGATTGAAAACTCATTTCTTTAGAACTGCTTTTGTGTTCAGATTGTCCTCATTCCCCCGCACCTCCGATTAGCACGGTTGGTCAGGTACGGTGCGAAAAAAGTACAACATACATGCCTACTCCGACAATAAATATGCGTCGGCGATGCTGCGTTGGCAGAGGTGCACAAGCACAAATATAATTTTTTTAAAAACTATTCAACGCATATATCAACACTGCCTCAAAATGAAAAGTATGTTAGGTGACGTTTCGGGCAATGGCCCTTCTTAATGCACTTCTTAACGTACGAACAGGGGCGATTTCCCAAAGCGTCACCTATTATATACACGTTGCCTTTAGGCTTTAACGGTGTTACTGACGATCGCCATACCTGTGGAGACCACCCCAATGTCTATCTCGTCAATTGGTCCACCTCCATCCTGCACACAAAAAGATAAAGATCCTCCGTATAGCCTGAACAGATTGCTCGGGCAAGTGCTGTTAGCGAGCACCAATGAAGGCCGGCACAGCACACGACGGGGTGGGCGGCCAGCAGCACGCCCGGCCGCCTTTGTCTCCCGAGTGGCGATGTTTACACACCGCACGAGGTACTCATATTGAGGCTGAGTCGACCTAGGGTAAGCCCAGGACCGGTTCCGATAATCGCCATTGGTGTTGGTCGTGAGTGGGAATCAAACTCGGGCCGCGGGTTCCTATTCGCTTGTTATTTTCCACAAACGAAGGTTTCAATTATGGATCGGCCAAACATTTAAAGCAGGACCCTCCTGAAAAATTAAGACTGTATTCTTGGGTCTTTCGGTAAAGCTTAAAGGTTTCGGTAAAGTCACGTAGATAGGTTCAAAGAAATCTATCTGCATGACTTTACCGAAAGACCCAAGAATATACATTCCTGCAGTCACGAAATCTTTAAGTCAATGAGACTGTAGTTTCACCCAGTACAGATACGTTTGTCCATGTTTTATAAAAGCTGCCTTGTTCCTTTAGCCCGTTCAGTCCTTTTCAAGGCTCATGGAAGTCCTCATTGTAATCCCCGGATGGAAATAACGCGCGTCTGTGAGTTCACGTCGCATCAGCAACTCTTGCGAATTAAACAGTAAATTGTCTACTGCCTGTGCATCATTATTAACGAGGGATGTTACGATTCATTGAATAAAAAAATCAGCCCGACGCTCACGAGATGCATCACATCGCACGTGTCATCGACTGTTTTTATGCTGTTTGTGATTGGTTCCTGGGAACCGTACTTCCACTCTAGATTAATCAGGCACCCGCGAGGGTGAACAAATGTAATTTTGAATTGACTCATGCTGGAATTGAATCAATACATGTCTCGAGGTATGTTGCAATTTGTCCCATTGCAGCATCGGATTAAACCACGTGTTCACACGAAGTAAATTAAACAGCTTGACAATGCATTTTTTTTCTCTCCCCTAAAAAAACACGCACGTTGTTGTTATTCCAATCTGCAATAGGAATGGTCAAATACACTGTTATTGTGTGCATCGGAATCCGAACGTCAATTCGGGTTTTTGGAGGCGATTCAATCAGAATGCACGGTAAATCGTCGCATTATGACCAGATCAAATCGCTTTTTGCGTAACATTCACTGTTAAGGATCCAACTGCCTTTATTAAAATGAACACCACGGGTTGTCAATGTACAACAGTATAGTGCGTACGATTTTAACGTGGCTGAGCCACAGCATAAGGGCAGCAATGCTCCTTTCGAACCACTCTGATAATTACACACCGATAACAGCTTTTTTGTTGTTGTTGTCATTAGCGAAGTGAAATCCTGTCCCTTCAGAAGCCACATTAAGCACCACACAAGCGCACGAGACAACGCAAGCTTCCAGGCGGTCATTATTTTATTATTACAAATAATGACGGATGATGCATCCTTGTCAATACAATTTGCACCACAGCTGCAAACTCCAACATGTACCCTTTGGTTTTTCGGGCAAGTAAACATTTTTTTTCCGTTGTCATTTTTGCACCAAAGGAAACCCATACTCTTCATTATCATCACAAATGCGGTCCAATGGCTTTCAAAATGTCATACAAAAGGACAGACCTGATAAGGTCACAACAGATTTATAAAGACATTACTGTACACGTAATTCGTAAACTCCGTGAGCAGACTCCACCACCAGTCCACTTATGCACCAATGAAATAAATTCACGTGCGGTATGTGCACGCTTGGAATGACCAAAAAGGTCAAAGCAAGAATGTTGACGAGACCCAATGATTAGTTTGATAACCACAAGCAGCGAGAGCTCAAGCATGTTCTATTGCAGCGCAACTGTCAATGACCCTGTTTCTGTGCGCATCGACTTGCCAATATGCACTTCGCACACTCCGCGAAGTCTCACTCACACCAACTGCCACCGCAATATGGTCAAGACATCAGTGTCATCTGTTCCACGGTTTTACCCGCTAAAATTCTTTTTTTTACACCGCGCAAGAGATTTATTTGTGTACGGGGGGGTTGCACGTTTCGGCATCGTCCAATTTGATTTTATTATCGCATCACAATTAGCATAACAATTTCACTTCCCTTCTGTGACGGTAGATGTGCGCATATGGATTTTTCCGCAGAGCACAGCTGGCAACGCATGCGTCAATGCGCTCGCTGCAGAGCAAGCACATTGCTGTTTATTCTCACGCGCGCGCAAACACACACGCACGCGCGCGCGCACACACACACAAGCGCGCTTGTGCATCACAACACGAGCCAATACCCAGGCACCGCGTGTACACGAACAGGTTTTCAAGTTTTGCTTCTTGCAAATTATACTTATGCAAGGGAACCAGGTAAGGCAGGCAAAGATTAAGCTTCGCTAAGTGCCATGTTCAGAGCCAAGCCGGTCTTACAAACTAAAGCGCCGTACCAAATGTCCCAAAATTAAGAAACATTTGGAAAATAATCCAGTGTTATGGAAAACAACGACTGATAAAAAAAAATATCGCGTGACATATGCTACCTCAGTGCAATATTGTAGCATCGCGTTTAATTTTACAAAATCTAATCCAGAGCTAGCAACAATTGGTAAAGTTTCCATTGATTCAAAGTCAAAGTGATTTCACGAGCACTGCGCAGCATGAGCCAGTGGTGGAACTTAGGTTCCTAAGGTTAAGCCCAATCTCTTTACAAACCACCGAGGTGACGAGTTTAATCCGACGATAACATTTTAGGCGACTAGAATTTCCGTACAAAAGAACGCAGTTGGCAGTAAAGATACCGTTAGAGCTATCAGCAGAAGCCATGTAGCCCGCAGAAAGCCAACCTTTTTTCACGAATAAACATGTGTATGATCAGTAACCAAAATAAAGTAGAATGTATTTTCATGATCAACGTGTTTTCTGGAATAACATATCGCAAGAACACAATTTTAAGGGCAAATTAGATCTGTTTTAACTTCAGTTAGTCATTACCCGATAAGTAATTGCCACTGGGTTATGCTGCACCATGCAGGTCTATGGGTTAGTAAACATGTCTCCCTAGTCACACGAGGGCGGGACAATGCTCATCTCCACTGCAGCACGGAGCCAATGGTGGAATTTCTGGAATCTAACGGTAGGTGACAAAAACAGTTATTTTCCGTCAGCATTTAAACCAGCTAATGTGCTTCAGTATATTTTGTTTAACCTTTTAAGCTTATTTCACTGTGGTGGTATAGTTTGGCTCAGCGTTGGCAAAATTCTGCTCTTTCATAAGCTCAAAAAATACTGCATCCTTAAAGTATGCGTACGAAACTTATTCATTCACCATAAGACTCCGAGCTCGAGGTGGCTATAATAATAATTAGCCACGAGTTGCAACAGCCCATGTAACTCTCTCCAATTCATGCCAGGGTTGAACCTGAAGGCGCAGTGCCTCCTATGGGGTATTCCTCCTGTCTTGCAGTCTTCATCGGTATCACTTAAGCCTTGTCCGACAGCATGGAACCCAAGCTGCAATAGACATCACAACAAAGAGGCATTCCCAGTTACAGGTAGCAGCGCCATATCAACATAAAACCATTGTAAACCATTGCAGCTGGTCGTTGTAACGCACGCCTATAGAGCCCAGCCCTCTTGCAGGCAGGGTAGGTGAACCGTGCGGACTGAAATCCCGTGCTCTGAGAATTCCAAACCCGCTGGGAATGACAGCTGAGCAGGAGGTAGCAGTAGAGCAAGTGGGTTGCTGACCTGCCTTAATGGACCTGTCTGCATACATTTTGTTCCAGGGTGCTCTGGATTCCTCACGCATGCAAAGCAACGATCGAAACGAAAAGGAACAAAACACTCCGACACAGGGGTACGCGCCAGATGAGAAGTGCCGAGACTCATTAAGGCTTTTCTGAATAAATTAATGACATTTACTCAACGTTAACAGCTCGGCATGCCATTATAGCACTCTAGTGATGTCACTCTCATGCATTTTTCCAACAATGCGGTACCATAGTACACGCCAGCGATGTCGGCACACTAAACTGCAACTTTAAAAGTATTTTTCCTCGACAAAGAAGCACAGGCTTGTGTCAGAGTCCAGGGCACGCTGCTCAGGTAACGCTTCCACAATGGCTTCTTGATGTTAAGCTTGCATGACTGCAGGAATTACTCTTTGGTTTTTTCGGTAAAATCAGGTAGAAAAAAAAGAAAATAAATAAGAGAATACGCCGTTTCGATTGCAACACAAGCAGGTGTGAATGCAAGCTCGGAGAGAAGACACATATACAGAGAGACAAACACAGGCACGGAGACACATACACAGAGACCCACAGAGAGACAAACACAACTGATGACGACTGCTTGTGTTGCAATCGAAACGTCGCATTCTATTATTTTTTATTTTCTTTCTACGTGACTTACCGAAAGAACCAAAGAGTAATGGCTGCTTGTTTTTGGATTGCGTCTCCGCTTAGGAATGCACAGGTAAATCGGATTTCACGCAGTCACATTTAATAAATAAAATAATTCTACAGCTCCATCCATCTACTGCTCGATGAAGCCCCCCCGCCCATGTCGTGTTGGTCTCAGGGGGTTGTTTGACCATACGCTGGTCAGTGTCAGTTGGTGAAGAGGGAGGCTCGGACCGGTACAAATGTCACTCGATGGTAGCCATGGCTGGCAATCAAGCTCGGGTCGCTGGGTTAAATATTGCAGTGTGCTAACCATTGTGCCACCATTCCCCCACTTAAGAGATACTTTTGCTGACATAACCCTGTCGTGCTACATACACCTACACTACGTCCTGCACTGTTCCATGAAAGTTCACACAATATGAGGAAGGCTATTGGTATCCGCTTGACGTCGCACCTCTCCACGATAGCCTGCAGTCCTATCGCACGTTCATGTTTCATTCCTCTAATGCGACCAGTGCTCAGGGCCCGGTTATGCAAACACGCGTTTACTATGCAGCATAGTATATCGATGCGCACTGCATTCCTCGGCACTTAAGGATGGCAACGCACTTAGCCCTATTTATAATGTTGAAAACCAAATGGCTAGGATTTGCTGTGCAGCTACGCAATTTAGGCACAACAATGAAATGCATTTAACAGCATTAAGTAGTGGTAGAAAAACAGCATGAACACAACAATATTGACACAAGATGACTCTAAAGTTACGTGGAATATGCAATTATTATTTGACTAAGTTAGCTGCCTAAGCTTTATTCATATATTTCATACAAGACAGATTTGACATTGTACGGCCTCACCCTGCATCTCTCAGAAATACAAACGTGTTAAAGCCATGTGTTCAGATGAGAAAGGAGAAGTACACTGAGAAAGCGGTGACGTGTCTGCCCGTAATTCCCGCACACGACATGCACCGTCGCAACGCGCAACACACAACGCACGCAGCGGTGGTAGCAGCCACATTCTTCGCGGACGTGACCCAAAAAACCCGCTCCAAGTTTATGTTGATGAAAGCCTCTCTTCTTGCTCAGGAAGAGTGAAAGAGCTCCTCCTCCCACATGATGGGATAAGGGCCAACGAGATGGAACCTTAAAAATGTCGAGTGGTATTTAGACGCTTTTCCATCCACCTCTGAGGGTTGCAACAAGCCCCTGAATGCTCCTCGCCACTCATGGCCGCTCCTGGGTTTGTTGTTGTTGTTGTGTTGTTGCTGCTGTAACCAGGTTTATATATGGTGGAACAGAGTCCACGTTGAACATAAGCGTTTATTGCCCAATAGGTTTTACCTGTGACAATTTAAACCTATACTTTCCTCATGCAATCCATTCCAAAACAAGTACTGTACACGGCACTTATTCTGTAGACATGTACCTAAGCTGACCATCCTGGGATTGTCCAACAAAAGTTTTAAGCTTCATTGAGACAAAATTTGTTTTTACATTACTTTTAAGTGTGCCATGACAGAGCAATGTCACTGCTGTACCCTTTAATGTCATTATCTCAGCAACGTTAAGTGCTGTGGTAGGGTGCCTGGCAGTGACTTTAGATTAATTACTCTCACTAATAAAGCTGCACAGACGAGGTAAATGCCGACAACAAAAAAATAGACCATTAGGTAAATGCCGACAATAAAAAATAGATCATTAGATTTTTTTGGGCTGCAGCTTCCATGAATCTGAAAACATCGAGTTAAGTTATCATCGCAACCAATGCTGCCGTTGACACAGCTCACCATTGCTTTCTTCGACTCGACCCCTCAGTCGTTAGACAGCTGACAACCGCCACATACAGGGCACTCTTCTTGCACTGGCTTCATCGTAAACATGCTTCATCAGCACCATCTGGCACGAGCTCTTCCCCTCAGTCACCAATCCTCTGGGTGCCACTCCATGCCTTCTCCTTGTCGCTATTGTTTTGCTACTCGCATAGTTACTGATTCCTCCAGGACTGACTGTTTTGTCTCCTCCATACTGCGTTCAACTATCCTGCAAATCAAAACACTTCTTCTGCTTCTTTCATCGCACTGCTTGAATTGGGATTTCCCTCCCATATTCTCTTTTCCTTGCTAAATAAAAAAAACGCTTTAATCCTTATCTATTACAAGCGTCATTTGTTGCTGGCTGCTTGACATTTTGGGCCGGTGCTCGGCAACTTTGTTAAAATAAAAAAAGCCAGCCCTCCTCCATCCTGTACGTGTCCCACCCATGGCAACCTCATCCTCCCGATAAAGCGTCCATTTTTTGACATTCTATTCCAAACGTACAAGTCACTTACCCTCTCCTGCCGTGTGACATTCATTAGCATCTCCCACATTCACCTGAATTCAAAGGCCAGAAAGTTTCTAAGAGCTAGAGACAGAGACAAGCTTTTTTGTGGCTTCATAACTGCCGACATGTAATGCAGAAAAAGCGGGCCAAGTAATGCCTGGTATTAAAAAAAATGTTTGTTTAAAGTGCGATATTGGAATTTCACAGGGTCGAAGTGTTGCAGGGAAAGTGGCATGTGTGGAATGGCTAAACGCATCAACAGAGAAGGGGTTGCGTTTCGTGATGCATCAACTCCACCACTCAAACTTATAGTGTTGCCATGCGGGACAGTGTGCTGATAACACGTGTTGTTGCTGTGCAGCACAGCTCAGTAACGTTACACAGAGGAGGGTGCTGCTTCCACGGATGTCTTTCAGCCGCGGGCGTGGCCAAGCCTCTTCAATCATCGCCTGAAGAAGAATTCCCCAGCACAGAAGCATGCCTCAAATGCCCAAACAAAAGAACTGATAGAGGGACAGACGGCATTCCGAACCAAAGTGGAAAGCTATCTCCAATACAAAGATGTCCCATTTTAGCCTCGATGACTATCGGAGGAAGGGCTCTTAGCGAGCAGCATCTATTGAGGCCAGCATGGCACACAGTGAGAAGGAGGTTAAGGCCTATGGATTTGGAGACAAAGAGGGAAGAAAAAGACGTTGCTTCTCTCAACTTTAACTCCTTTAAAGACGGGGGGGGGGGGGACGACCAAACCCACATGTTGAGCCCCCCTCAATAGCCTTTACAACTGCCTCGGCTACTCGACATGGCCCCCATGGCTACGTGCAACCCCAACTTCAAGAGTTTATACACGCCTCGCGTGACCGACGTCGCCAATTCCCAGTTGCCTTTGTCTCATTGCTGATATTAGCACATTTCTGAAACAGGTCATAATAATTTTAGGTTCAGTCAACGGGTCGGGTTCACATTCCAATTTGCACTGGTTAAGTGAACCGTTGCCAATATATTGAACCCAGGTTGCAGGAATAAAAGTCCGGTACAATCGTAGTAGCTACAATAATCAGGAAAATCGTAATGAGCGAACATGCACACACACGTGTAGACATGTATACACAAAAGACCCTGTTACATTGTTGAATACCACAAAAGGGAAAAAAGTCCATGCCAAAGTTTGCTCTGTTCCTCTGCACATTGTTAGCCTGTCCACAGAGATTAATTTGCCAGCCTAATAATTCACCCTTACTCCCAGTCCAACAGTTAACGTCGACACAAATTATTCTTCCATACAACAGCTTCAGCCCGACAGCAGAAAGCGATTACAGGGATTTATAAGGCTAAACGTAAACATTAAAGCTTAAAACTTGGAAACAAGCTCGGTTACAGTTTTCCCACTTTTAAATATTGGAAGCCCAAAAGTAAATGCCCAGTTGTTAAAGATTTCTAATTTACTACACTCCGCATTTAACTTAACGGCCGTTAAAAGCAAAACTTTATTTCTACGCAATTAATAATTCTAAGATAAGTTCAAACGCACTGTAAAAATGTGACAAGTTCCAGATGCCAAGCGCTACAGGGTACACATTGCACTTTTGTGAAGACATAGGACAATGCATTGCAAATTACTTTGCATTGGCATTGCCTTTGGAAAAGGACGTAGAAAATAAATGTCAGTAGATTTGTGCTCAAATAGATGCGGCAGTACTCATTCAATGCTCATAGTTCTGCACCGTTGATGGAAATTCCACATTCACATGACAGAGAAAAGTTATTCCACAGGAGCGGGCGACCTCTGTTGAATTCCTAGAAAGTGGTACTCATTTTATGTACATTTAGGTCAACCCCCTTCATGGGATTTCAACACAAAACCTTCCTGATTGCGGGCCATACGCTGTGCTGACCACACCATCCGGCAAGTAACACTAACAAGTTTGTGCAGGTCCACATACTCAGTGCGAGGTTCACATTGCCGTGCTCCAAGTGACAGTCTCAAAACTTAACACTGCAACTACAGGGGTGTTTATTACAGAATAATTTAACAATCTCCATACTTATTTGTAATTTTTCAAGGCAAAGTTGCAGCCCTGAAATTGCTTGCTCACTGAAGTGCCTCCCCACTCGAGGCAGCTCTGGAGAGTCCCTGAATTTGGTCTACTCTTCCACGCTGGCCAAACGTCTTGGATGAGATGGGGAGTTCCTCATACTTTACCCCACCACGACGTGACCTGCCAGTGGTCGACTAATGGCGGTGCATCTATCTCTACCACTCGATGGGCGGATAGAGCATTTGGAAACTTGCATCGTTGTTTTGACTGCAGCGCCAGATGGATCAAACCGGCGACGTCTGAATTGCAAGCCGAGTGTACTGACCGTTACACACCATCGTGGCAGTATTTGTTGTTTTTGTGGATGGCTTTCAACAATTTTGATTTCCGTCTCATGGGAAATTAAAATGTCAATTGTGCAAAATTTTGTTAATTTTAAACACGTGCAATGGAGCCTGATTTTTAAGTAAAGCCTAGTAAGACGGCGTATTGAAGCTGCTAATTAAACACTTACTGTGAACGTGTGCCGCTATTATTGAACCTCAAGACAATTTTCACATGAAACATGACCATTAATAGAATTACCAGACTAAATTTTCTACTTGTTAGAATAATTTTAGTAACAATGGATTATATGGTTTAATGTTGGTGGTGTACATTTTAAAAATAAAAATAAATGTTGTGTCATTTTCCGCATTTTGTACCAGTTTTAAAATTTCGACAATAATAAATCCTAGAAATTTCACCACAATCGTTATTTTACATCAACCTGCGACCCCCTTATTCCTGTATAATCTTACAAACTGTTGGGAACAGTGGTTTTGTGGTTGCCTGTTAAAAGACACCAAAGCAAACGATGTTCACAAACTGCTAGAGGTCCACCCAAACTTCGCAAGATCTCATTGAGGATGTGACGATTCATCTAAAATGTATTGAGGTACAGTTAGCTGATCGCACCCCCTTGTGCCTTGACCATCCGCGGCTGACCGCAAAAGTTCTGTATGCGTCAGGTCACGGACACGACATGCATTGTGTGAAATGCATTGTTCTGCAAGCAATAAAACAAAAAAAATGTAAGTCAAAATGAGCCCATGGCCAAGCACCGGGTGTGGGGGTAGAACAAATGTTAGGTGGGTCCCATGTCCGATTGACAAGTTGGTGAGGGTTGAGGCATGGCAAGAACTTTGTTGGCCAGTGCGTCCCACGCACATATTGAAAGCCTTATCAGCTTTTGGCCAGCTTTTTGTTGAAACATTCACACAAACACCTCACACACCACACACACACATACGTACCTTGTGTTTTTCAGCCCTGCTGTATTTCAATGCTTTAGAGACTCCGTGATGGAAGACTACTAAAAAAAAACATGCAAAGGTAAGAATGTGATTGAATCATTACAAAATACTCTCAAGATACACGCTGCATTGTCATCTGCTGAGTCCACACATGTAGCATCAACAAGGACTGGTTTGTTATCCTAATATGGTATACATGTCCATTTTGGCTGTTTAAAGGTCTGTTTCCTACACAATATCTGGTAATGAAAAACTACTGTTTATTTTAACCTGTTTATATCTGTCAACATTTTAAACCCGTCAACTTTATTCACATTTTCCAGTATTTAAAGTGTGATCTCAAATCACTGTACAAGCCAGCCAGACTTTTTTGTGGTATTCTTTTTAAAAATATGCGTATTTATAAACTGTTTTGAGGATCAACACAATTTCAGTGATGAACACTGTTAAAAAAGCATAGCATATCCAGACACTGAGCAGGTTATGTATTTATACACAAAATCTTGGAATACACAGAAAAATGTACAAAGACAACCAAAAACAAACAGCTCCTGCCTTGTAGTTACACCCCTAGGCTGCGGCTAAGGCTGTGAAACACAAGTTTTGAAGCTTTCTTCCTGAGATAAGAGGCATTTAAGGTTACCCACGAGTGCTCTGGTAACATCAGTGCTGTGCCACTATGTAAAATCAAATACAACACTGCAACGACATCACTACATCTCTGCTGACCGTGACTTTAAATGCTTTTTTTTCCCATACGTGATGCTTCAAACTTTGTCCCGGGCAGCCCTTAACACAAGGCCTACGTATTAATTTTCAACGCAGAAAATATAAGAGCTATCGAAATTAAGCAACTTCTTCTCTGACCACCAATCAACCTACAAGTAAACAAGCAACTTACCGAATAAACCAGCATAAACAATGGGCATCAGTAGGTTCGGATTAAACAGGTCCCGTACCTCACCACTGTGAGCGACTGTGTGGGCTGAATGGAAGCCTGCTTGCCCATCCCTCGCCAGGAGCATTGCAGTTTGTGCAGCTTGTTTAAGGCAGTCAACATAAACACCCCACTCCCAGCTAACCAATGGCGCACAGCTGAGAGTGTAGGGTGTTTACATTGACTGAGCCTCACAGTCAAAAAGGGCACTGCACTCCAGCCACTTTGCCCATCATTCGGTCCATCAGTTAAACAAAGGCTTTTTGTGAAAACCAGGTGTGAGAGCCCATTGAGACGGCACATCTCAATCTAGAAAGACGTGGGTGTAACACAATACAGGTGAGCTTAAAGAAACAATAAGATTTGTCAGTGGAACAAATGTGTAAATCAAAATCAGTATTAAAAAGAACCCCAAGGGAAATAAGTATGCAGATTTGTAAGAGGTCAATAGTAGTCACCCAAAGGTCAGAAGACGACCAGAGACATTACCGCTGTTTCCACCACACATCGCCATCTCTTCCTCCCTGCTGCTAGATTCCGGAAACTGTTGCGCAGCGCACAGCTGATCTTTAGTATCGTGGCTCTAGGCCTTCCATCGGTCGCCAAGCCTCTGGAGCTTATCTTGGTGACTTCTACAAGAGACTTGTACCTGCCATAGTAATGTGGAATTTCCACCACTGGATCAAGGCCACCTCCCCCAAGGCTTGTTTGAACACAAACGGACAAAGATTTGACTTATTTTTAACCTAAATGCACTATGAATAAATGTCAAGAAGTAAAGCAATGTAAAATATAACGCTCCAAAAGAAATCCACAATAAACACGACACTACTGATCTAATTATTGTAGGAATCAATATAAAAATGTAAAAAAAATTACTTCTGCAATCGTTGCAGTCCGTTTTAATGAGCCACAGAAAATTACAGACGCTTACTTCCACACTTTCCAACTGAGCGTAATATTTCGTGTTTGCTCGAAACAAGACCAAAACTTAATCGAAGATCCCCCTCACCGCTCGCACGCGCATGAAAAATGTATCAACTCAGCTCCCTGCTTCAGTGAGACATGTTAACAGCTGACAGCGGCCGCACAACGGGCTGCAGTTTTAATGCAGCCGCGCGGGGGGATGAACGAGTAACAGAATTAAAGGTTGGGAACACTGCACTGTATGGCGAGGATGGATCAGCCGATGCGTTAATACGATCAATGATTGCATTGCGAACAAAGACTAAACAAAATGGGAGAGCCAAGTCGAGAGGCCGCACAAACCTAGCGTAGATTATTGGTTCGCACTTCCTAGCACCAGGGCCACGTCTGGGTGTGGTAAACCCCCGTCTTCAGGGAGCATTCATGTTATTCACACATTCAAAAAAACATCCCGCGCAGATAATAACGTCGGCTAATAAGCGTCGACAATAGGAGAGTAGACAGGTGAAATTTCAATGTCTTTATGGTTGATGCAAAATTTATACAAATTATATACAAATGTTACTTTCGGGCGAATGGAGTGAGCAAGAATATAAAATAAAATGGAAAAAAATAAGGTCACTAGTTAACCAGTGTTTTTACTTTGTTGCGAGCGAGGTAGGTGAGCGAATGTCAAACTGTAATTGTTAACATTTAATGCCCGTTCATTGCATTATAAGAAGTAAAGAAACCACATACACATTCAGCACTCTGTGGCTCACTCAGTAACCGAGCCCAAGGATTGATAGCAAATCGAACGACAGGCATGCTCAGCAAGACAGGAATAGAGGCACATTGACCGCACACAGCAAGAAAACACACGCACGCACACATCACAGTGCGTCCTATCAAGGATTCGACTCTCAACATGGGCTTTCCAGAGGGCACAGTTAAGTGCAGCCACACTTGCACAGAGAGAGTAGAACGCCATCAATAGTCCAAGGAAGTGAAAGGGTCACACACGTGCTGAGTACGGGCTGCATGGAAGTCCCATCGCAATGCCGGGGACTAATTTAGCAGTGTCATTCATCATCTGTTTCAGTTGAGCGCGACACTTTATATGTCTTTGTATGGCAGTGATTGAGAGTGGGTGAAAACACTGTGTATGGATATTGGTCTTACAGTGGCAGTAATGACAGATGTTCAAACTTTATATATTATATTGGACGATTGAGACTATGAAGAAGGGTGTGATGATGGTGGTGGTGGTGGTACACGTCTGTGATCCAGTGCTTTGAATATTGAGTTGGTGTATTAAGCAGATCTTTGTGCACAGACATCCCCCAAAATCACCGAAGTGCACAGCATTTTGTAAAATAGATTTTAAGCATGCTGTAGATAAATTCACAAGAGCAGGTAACTATCTCAATGCCTTAGGGAGTGGCTTCAACATAAGGTTGTCATGAACCTAGACCTCACCACTAACCCACAGCTCCCCACGAATACACACGACTTGTCACAAAATTTAACTTTACCATAAACGCTCGCGCCTTAACCCCCCCCCCCCCACCCCTTAAACACGAATAAGCCATCGAGAGCAATGCTGGGCTCTCTAAAAATAAGTCTTGAGACTCGGCGACACTTTCTAGATAAATTATATTTTTATTGTTATCATGCAGGCGAATCCTCTTTTGAAATATCTGCAACTATTTTTGGGGTATTTTAAATAAATGACATGTCCATGCGTATCTGGTTTTCCAGGTTTTTCTCGCAAAGGGTTACACAATAAAGTTGTTATTGCCGGTAGAGCGGTCAATCTCGAAAAAGCAACAAAGCACTGTCAATACACATGCATGAGCAGATCTTTTAAATACTGTATTTAATCCAAATTTCAGTGAGGCCAGCAAGTGCACTGCAAGTCAAGTCCATTGCTTTAGAATCTGTCCCTGCAGATTTCCACTTCCTTTTGAGTTTCAGGTTCAAAAGAACCAATAGCAGTCACAAGACAGTTATGGTGGCAGTCCGTATAATGGTCAAGGTACAGCGAGTACAGCAGCAGTTTCAGCAACAGCTAGCCACTTGCAAATGAGTTCTAGTCGGTGTCTCCCCGCTCAAACGCACATCGGATAATGCTCATCTCCACTGACAACAACGGACCAGTGGTGAAATTTCTTCATTCCCATCGTTGGGGGGACAATCTCCCTGTAAGATGGCTTGGAATTCCTACAACGCGGTTGTCAATATATTTTTAACGTAGAGGAACGACGGAAGGGCTGAGTTAATATTTGAGTGGGATTTGAACTCTGCCAGCGAGCCCAGCACCACGAGGCCACATAACACGTGCCTAAATGGAACACAATTACCAATACAGTCGTCCCTCAGTTAACAGTGACATTGGTTAATGGTTTTCGGTAAACGCTTCGCCTCCCATAGGACCCCATAGTTTCAACTCACATTAAAATTTAGATTACCGGTATGTTTACGTTATCCAATCAGCGATGCCCATTTCTGAGCGTTTAGACCTCGACTGGCTTTGTTGTTAATGCTTTTAACATGCAATTCCTATATTCGAATAAGTTATTTCGGTTACTGGTAGTTTTCGTGGAACGGATTAAAAACCTTAACCGAGGGACTACTGTACAGGTATTTACTTTGCAGCCTTCATCTTCGCATTTGTAAATATAAACAGATTTTTGCAGCAGGCAGTGCATTAGTTCATAAGCGCGATGAGAATTACTGATGACGTCAGTGAATTAGCTCAAGCAAAGTGGCTACAGTACAATTATTCCCCTTGCTGCCTAAGGACCAAGCGGACCCCGTTCAAGAACCGTGAAAAACCAGCCCAATAGATTAATCACTTCAAATATTCCATGGTGAAAATGGGGAACTTTTAATTATTTTTTCCCAAAATTATATTTCACTTTTCATATTGGAGCAATGTTTTGAGCTAAATGCATTTAAACGGGGACATCTGAAAATTGGGCAGTGCACCATCTTGTCCATAATACAAGTTTTTTTGTGTTAGAACGCATAAATATAAATGTCGTTAAACCCACCATCACCCAACACAGCCAATTAGTAAGGTTTGTCACGAACAAAAAATGCCAATTCGTTACTAGTTCAGCACACCCGTGTGTTGGAAAGTAAAACCAACAACATTTACAATTTTGAGTACGACGTTTCGCAGGCAAATACAACTAGCATCATCAGGCAGAC